AAAAACATCTTTAAGTTGCAAAACATAAAATCCAATGATTTGAATCATTATCATTTCAAAGAAAAAACCAACGGCGGTGGTTCGGCTGCCTCTAAAAAAAAAAAAAAAAAAAAAGAAATATCCCGCTAGGAAATTCTTTCATTCCAAGGCAAAAATTAAGGACTCGAGAGAAAATAGCCGACTGTAAAATCCAAAAGAAACGGTCGACGACAGAATGTTTGAGTACTGTGAATACTCAAATTTTGAGGCTCGAAAAGCCAGTTTTCCCGGACTGCAAACAGTCCGGCCAGATTGGAGGCCATTTTGGAAATTTACCTGAAGTATGCCAATATGGTACTTAAAACGTCAGGGACGTCGCGAGGATCGCGAAACTGGTCCCGAAATATTTTTTGGAGGTCCGAAACTCCCGAAAAAGCCTCCGGAACGTAAAACTAGAAAGTCCGCCGGAACGTAAAACTAGAAAGTTTCGGCCGCTGGCATAGACGCGGCTGCGGCCAGCCTCGATTAGCGCGGTGGTGGCAGCTCGCAATTCGGCCCGGCATGAAGCGGCGGCAGCAGGCGCGCCATCTCACTAGGGCAGGATCAGAGGTGCCGGTGCGGCCGGGGCTCTCACTCGGCGGCAAGCTGCGCGCTCTCGACAGCGGGCACTAACCCGAGGTTAGGCCATCCACCCTAATTTTTGCTATAAAATTAGGTGCGCCGGAGGGTCTCAGTTTTTTTACTGTCACTCAGAATTGTTGTTTGACAGAACTAACCCACTGGCTACCTATCTGCACCTAGGCATCGCTTGCGATTCTTTACACTTTTCTGCATTTTAATTTAAAGGCTTTAAATTTAGGCTTATCATTGCTTTAGTTAATTATGGTCACGTAATAGTTGATTAAAATTAATATTCGCCTTAACGAGGAGGCATTAACCTAGGAGGTAGAGAAAGTGGCCAAGAACGACTGACATCAGGTATAACATAAACTACCAGCTGCTGAGCATTTTAAATTTAGACAGCTATCATGCAATGCTTCTCTTCTTAAGCTCCTAATTCTATCAACATGGCATAAATAGGGGCATTCAGCGATCATCATATAAGGGCAATAACTGAGATCAATTAAATAAATTTTAGGTGCTAGATCCCGGTTAATATTAAATTAATCGTGGTAATTAAAGCCTAATATCCGACAATATTGTGACTGGCTAAAGGCCTAGTTATCAATAAAAAAAAAAAAAAAATAGTTACTATGTGATCGCCTTTATATTCAAACAATTCGGGTATTCTTAGATCAAGTAAGATATGCTTAAGATACCTATTAATCAATAAATTTTTTTTTGATAGGGCTAAAAGGCCTTGATTAAACACGTTTATTCTCTGGGGCAATAAAATTTGCCACTACATTAGGCAGATATACAATTAGATATAATTTTGATAACAATTGCTTATAGTGAGAATTAATCTTTTTTAGCGACAAATTCGCTTAAAACATAAGTCTTGGGAAAAAACAGCCTTTAAATTAATCAAATCTTTTGGCTAAAAGCCTTAAAAGCCGAACCTAATTTAATTGCGACAATCGCCCAATCAAAACAGCTTTATGGGCAAAACTGAATTGGGCCTAAATCAACATTTTTGGAGGTTTTTATAAAAAAGGCCTTAATGATCAATCAATTTTGGGCGAAGCAATCGGGCACTAAACACATCAAGCTTTTGGCAAAACAAGTTGCCTAAAATCAATCTTTTGGCTAAAAAGCCTTAAAATCAACATTTGTGGGGGCAACAATGGCCTAATATCAAATCAATAATTTTTTGGCAAAAATGGCCTAAACAAAATAAGACAAAGCATACTACACACTCATGCATTAAGGCATACCCTTCAAAGCCCTTTTATTTAAAAAAGAGGGCCTATCGAACTAACGTTGACTTTTTGATCTTCCATTAGCAAGCGGAAGTACGATATTGGAACGTTTTGGAGATTTAACCGCCGAGCGGGGCAAGATCGAAATCACTTAATATTACCATTTGGTCGCAAATTACCTTGCAAAGCATTCATTTTTTTTTTTGGTTATTTCATCAGCATGACATGTTCGGGATCCCACCTCGGGTTCGTAGAATTGCCGTTAAACATTGGGTAATTATCTAGTAATTAGGTACTTAATTTTAATAATTGGAGTCACTTAGGGTTTTTTCCTAAGTTTTTAAGCCCTAAATATTTAAAGCAAGGTGGAATTTTTATTAAAAAAAATGCGACTCCACACATTCACCGTGCATTTCTGGCCTTGTCATTGCATCATATGACATGTGTTAAAATAATTAAACAAGGTGGCGACTCACACATTCACGTGCATTTCTGGCCTTAGTCATATGCATCATATGCCTGTGTTTTCGGGGGAGGGGTTCACACTAGTCATTAAGACAAATAGTTGTTGATCAATTAGATTCTTTTGTTTCATTAAGAAAAAATAGTTGCAATCCAGAGAACTAGTAAATTCCATCGTCACATTAAATCCATCATTATGAAAGAGAGAAACCATATGCATGGAATATTATGAGTTGAATTATATTTTGAAAATAATGAAATTTCAATTATTTAATTTATTCCAAAAGCACGTTACAAATATATAGATTTTTTTTTTTTTGAAAAAAGAAATTAAACGAAAGTGTAAGCTTGTGTTCCACCTTATATTTATTTTCATTTAAATTTTATTTATTTACGGTAAATTTAAAATAAAATTTACCATCAAAATAAAAGTAAAAATATTACACTACAAACTTTTAGAATTGAAAATATCGTGTTTATTACTTTTAAATTTATAAATTTAGTAAGAGAATTTTTATTCTTTTTCTTTCTAAAAATTGGCCCATTTAGTTAGTTCATACCAAATAATAGTTGATAACAGTTGCTGATAGTTGATAACCGATAAAAGTTAGTCGATAAATTTTAGTATTTAGTAAAATTTTATTGGCGGTTACTGTGATGATAAAATGATTATTAAAGTATAATTGTTTATATATAAATGATAAAGATATTTAATATAATATACATATATATATTATATATTAATATTATGTTGTATAATAATAATAATAATATGCATGGTGAATTTATTATTTTAATGTGTTATTAAATAAAAATATTAACTAAAGTTTTTAAAATTATACTGAATAGAAAACTTATTTATAGGGGTTAAAATTCAAATATAATATAGATATAAATCAACTAAAAAACTTCAAAATATAGGTGAAAGATATTTCTATCAGTTATTAACTTCTTATTAAAATCCTTAACAAATATCAATAACTTAATTATTGGAAATAAATCACCAATAAGTTGAACCAAATGCCTTGAAGAATTTTTATTCGTCATTTTTAATTTTAAGGTAATTTAAGTAATAAGAGTTAATATTTATCCTTATTTCTACTTATATAATCATTTTGTTATTTATTGTGTCAATATTGAATTTTATTTAAGTAAAGCAAGAACTCAATAGCTATATTAATTTTACAATAAACTAAATTTAAATAAAAAATAAATATAATATAAATTTGAGAACTCAAAAAATGCATTTATCATTTTCAATCTTATTTGAAGAAGCTCAAAAATGGGGGCATTTATTCATTTTGCAATCTTAATATAAAATAATTATTATGTAAAATCATTATATTAAAATTCATAAAATTAAATAGATACTTATTTATAGAGTTAGAAGAATTTTGAAAAAGATATTAACTTAATTAAATTATACATCATATAATCGTCAATTAATTATATATGTAATTATAATCAAATTATAAAATTATTTGAAAATAAATTATGATATAATTTATAAATTTATGGCAGAATTTAAGAATATTCCTTTTAAGTAAGAATATAAAAGGAAGAGAAACTCATTGACATAATACATTACCTAGTAAATAAAAAAATAGTTCTTTCATTTTAAATTAATAAATCAAAAACCACTAGTGGATAAAATTTGCAGTAAATCTCTACATATAACTTATTCAGATTTATTAAGATAGCACTTTAGATAGATTAAAGTCCAACGCGATATAGCGAGGCAGTAGATCGCTTACGTTTTCATCACTCGTACTGCAATTCACGATAAAGAAAAGTACAATCGTCAATCAATCCTTAGGAGCATGTCGTTCAGATGCGCAGCCAACTGCTCGCATGACCAATGGATTATTCATATACAAAAAAAAACTCTCTTCGGTCTGTCTTCGTTTATTCTTGTTTTCTAACGCTCTGGCGACAATGAAAAACCGCAATTTAAGAAAATCGGAAGTTAACCATTTATCAATTTACGTTCGTTATTGTGTTCTAGATACGGGTCGGCGTATTCTATTTTTTTATACTGCTGTGGTCGTCTTTCTGATCTTTAGATCTCTTCTGGACCAACCATTCTGTCCGTAACAACGTGTTCATCGACGGTAGTATATGAGTTATGTCTATTCAATGACTTCTTAACCTCTCATACCAGCAACGAGTAAGATAATCCGAAAAGATGACATTTTGAGCACTTCTGGAATGACGGGCGGCTATTCCAACGGTGTTATCATGAATATTTTTGTAGATAAACTAAATTTAAATAAAAAATAAATATAATATAAATTTGAGAACTCAAAAAATGCATTTATCATTTTCAATCTTAAATATAATTATTATGTAAAATCATTATATTAATTCATAAAAATTAAATAGATACTTATTATATAAGTTGAGAATTTGAAAAGATATACTTATTAATTATACAATCTAAATCCAATAATTATTATGTAATTATATCAAATTATAAAATTATTGAAAATAAATTATGATAAATTTATAAAATTATCAGAATTTAAGAATTCCTTTTTAAGTAAGTAAAAAAGAAACTTCCAATTCATTACTGTAAAAAAAAAATCTTTCAATTAAAAAATAAAAAAAGAGAAAATAGAGATCCACAATAATCAGAAAGTGCACGAAACCCGCGAGTGCGGGAGTAGACCTTCTTTTACTTCCATCACAAAAAGAAAACTCAATCAACCTTAAGCAGCGCAGGCGCAGCCAACTGTCCCAACATACAAACAAAAAACTCTCCTCTCTTCTTCTTTATTGTCTGGCTCTGCAACAATAAAAACCAAAACCAAAACCAAATTCTCAATAGCAACGCATCGGTCTTCTCTTTCTTTCTCTGTCTCTCTGTCAATCTCTGGACAACTTCTCTACAACTTCTCTCTGTATAACCAAAACAGAAGAACCAGAGCTTGAGCTTCTGAAAATGGCGGCTATTAACCATATTTCTGCTAGAACGTGTGCAAAGGATCATAATCTCTTTTTATCATCGTCGAAAAATTTTAGTGATGTTTCGCTTTTTGAATCGACAGTTTATAGAAGGAGATGTTTCTATCAGAAGCGAGACTTTGCTGTTAGATCGATGTCGGTTACTGAGCAGAATCCTCAGCATGGGAAACTCACATCTGCTAATGGAGTTTTAACTGCTGATGTGAGTTTACTTTCTTTTCATGTTCTTTTACTCTATGCTGTTTGTTTCCGGAGAAATATTGAGAAAAGGAAAAGAAACAGAATGGATGAATATTTCCATTTTTGAAGCATTAAGGAGGACTTAGATCTTAAATAGCTGATAATATATATTTCTTCTTGGATTTTCTTCTTTTACTCTTGTTATTGATTGGTTTTTTTGCTTTTATCTCTAATTGTGTTCTTTAGAACTATAAAATCCTAATGAGCAATCCAGGATGACTATTGCTCAAAACATGACAGTGATATTTGTGTTTTGATTAAGTGTGGAATTTGTAATTTTCTTTCTCGTTTTGAGTGAGGAAAAGGCATTCTTTATCAGAATACTTCTAATTGTAAAGCCATATAAAACAAATTGATGAGATTCTATAACTCTTATTCAGAGAATAGCTTAGAATTGTTTTGAATTTGATATTTCTGGCACAAATTTTATCCGTTTTTCCTCTTTCAAATGTTTAAAGAGTTTTTTTCTCTCTGTTACAAGTTTGTTAACTGGAGACATTTCATTCTTGTAGGACAATCTGAATTTTTCTGTTCTGACTAGTAGCCAGATATTGGGAAGGGAAAAAATAACTTCAAATTCTCTAAGAAAAACAAAAATAGTTTGTACAATTGGTCCTTCCACAAATTCACGTGAAATGATATGGAAATTAGCAGAAGCTGGAATGAATGTGGCTCGTCTAAATATGTCGCATGGAGACCATGCATCACACCAGAAGACCATTGATCTAGTTAAAGAATTCAATGCTCAATCTGATGACAAGGTTATTTCTATAATGCTGGATACCAAGGTATATTTCTTTCTGATAAGTTTTAATTAGTTCAAATATCTAGTTGATGATGGCTGTGTAGAAAGGTTTAAACTTGCCCACTTTTTGAAGTCAGTTAAAACAGCGACAAGGTTTATAAATTCTCTGTTTTGACCATCAGAATATGAACTAATTCTAAAAACTTTTAATTGTTACTGACAAATGCACAGACCCTTAAGTTTCTACTCCAACCCAACCCCCCGGCCCGTCCGTCCAGCTGGAATAGAATTGGCTGGCAGTTGAGCGGTCCTACAATAAATGTCCGCATGGGACAGGACGCATGGCGCCAGTTTAGTAGCGTACACAAACCAGAAGAGACCATGCTGGATGAGCTAGTTTAAAGAATGTCAATGCTTGACAAAACGTCGTGGATGACGTAAGATGTTTGACGATTATTTCTATAATGTCTGGTATACCAGCTGGTAGATAATTGTACGTTCTGGATTCAAGAGATTTTATAAATTAAGATAATACAAGATATCATAGGGATATCGAGTCTGATCTTCTGGCTTGGCTTGTCAGAAAGGTATTAAACATTGTACACTAGATTTTGGAAGGTCAAGTTAAAACAGCGGGAGACAAGGTTTAACTAAACTTGGCGTCTGTTTTTGACCATCAGAATAATGAACTAATTCTAAAAAACTTTTAAATTGTTAACCGACAAAAAAGTGCAACAGACCTTATCATAACGAACTTTCCCTAAACCAGACCCTCCAGGCCTCCGTCCGTGTCTCGTACCGTACCACCAGCCGACCGGGCAAAGTGTGGCCCTGAACCAAAAAAAAAAAGAAAAAAAAAAAAAAAAAAAAAAAAAAAAAAGAAAGAAAGAAAAATACGAGTTTTGTTTGAGGTTAATTTTTGCTGGAAAGTTGAACTTAAGTCGCTGCTGGTTTGCCTGATTACTACTTGCACGTAGCATGTTGCAGGTTGGGAAGAGAGAGCTGCATTCATAGCTATGTTATTGAAAAACGTACTGGAAGACTCCTCATGTAACGCGATTTGCGCATCAGTGGCCATTTCGCAATAAAATTTACGCGGGTTATAAACTAGAGGAAAAAAAAAAAAAAAAAAAAAAGAAAGAAAGAAAAATAGAGTTTTGTTTGAGGTTAATTGTGGAAGTTGATAAGCTGCTGGTTTCACTATTACTATTCACCATGTTGCATGGGAAGCTGCTATTTCTATGTTTTGAAAACGTCTGGAAACTCCTCATAAACATTCGAGGCCATTTCCCATAAATTGGGTAATAACTAGAGGAAGCGCGGAATACAAATCCACAAAATATCTATATTTTATGATTGTGGAACTCATAAATGATTTTTTTTTTTCTTTTGGATATGATTGATGTTGATTGGATGCTGACTTATCATTGGATATCTTTGATAGTTTATAATGATTTATCTTTTATATTTATAAATATGTCCCTATGTCTTTTGTTTACGCGTTTTCCCTGCATTTCCGTTTCATATATTTTTTAAAATATCATTTCCCCGTGTCTATTTCTGTGCTTCTGTGCAACATAGCTTTCACATTTATCACATGTCAATCTGTATTGAAATGCTGCCAATGGAAATGCAATTTTCTCCCTCCAACCTGCCCAACAAGTGCAGGATGCATGCCAAACAAGCTATGTATCATAATGAAATTACTTAAATCTAGTTGCTGTCTATCTTTCTAATTTTCTTGTGAAACGAAATATATTTAGACCACTTTTCAAGTGTTAAGGTCTTTTAGATTCTTTTAACAATTGCAGGGTCCTGAGGTTAGAAGTGGGGATGTACCTCAACCGATTACACTAAAAGAGGGACAAGAATTTAATTTCACAATCAAAAGAGGTGTCAACACAAAAGACACGGTCAGTGTCAATTATGATGACTTTGTGAATGATGTTGAGGTTGGAGACATACTATTAGTGGATGGTAAGTACAAATCTTTCGTATTGACCTTGGGATGTTGGTGGGTGAGTTGCATTGTGTCTGCACTTCAGTAATGTTTGTGATTTTCCAATTCACATTGAGGGATTCATGGAGAGATGTGTTGTGTACAAGAGCTTTGGTGGAATATGTTTTATAACTTCATACTTAAAACTTTTATTTCATATTTATTAGCCCTATTGATCCAAAGTATTAGGGGAATAGGCTGCTTGGCATGATGAAAAATGATACCAGACCGAATCTAGATTTGTAGTTCTATAGATTTTTAACTTCAGTAAACCGATTACACCTCAGGCACGCCTTTAATAACTATGCATGGGTATGATTCTTGTGAACTGTTGTGAGTGAAATATTGGTATTAATTGACTTTATCACCCACATTATCCTCTTTCAGAAACTACCCTATTATGAATTGTGTCAAGGTTATGACTTTGCATACTTGAGGGCAGGCGATTATAATACTCTTGTTTCTCATTGAGAACTTTGAAGGTGTTAAGGACTAGTTGTAAATAGAGTTCTGTTAGGAGTTAGATTCCTAATAGGTTTATAGTATCTTGTATATGTATATATATGTGACCCTATTGATGTGTGGAGTGAAATATTGGTATGTAATTAGACCTTTATCAACTCATCATTATCACTCTTGTCAGAAACTACTCACTATTTATGAATTGTGTCAAGGTTTAATGCCCTCTTGCATTTTACTTGAGGGCAGGGCAGATTATAATACTGCTTGTTTTCTCTATCACCAACTCTGTGAGAACTCTCTAGAAGGTGTTTAAGGACTAGTTTTGTAAATAGAGTTCTGCTATATGGAAGTTAGATTCCTAATAGGTTTTTTACAGATATACATATTTGGTCTACTAATATATATATATTAATGTATGATACATCCCTGAATATCCATTCTGGTGGATGAATATACAAAAATCCAAGCCTACAATAATAATGTTTTTTTCGTCACAATATATCTGTGTATTCACACTCTTATAGGTTCAGACGTGCATATTTCGCAATTTGTTTAGTAAAATTTAATTTCTGTGCTGAAGTTTTGCGTATGACAAGATTAGCCACCGTGTCCATCCTCAAATTGGCTGTCGATTACATTTGTTGAGCCCCAACTTCTCATGAGAAATCGACAACTGAGTTGAGTCTCCATCGCCACCTACCACGTGTTTCCCTCAAAAATCCGGTTCCTCCTCTCATTAGATTGAAGATCTGTAGCGTGGAGCCCTACGAATCTCTTACGCTGAGATAGCTTACTTAATATGCTGTTAACATATCTGATAGCTTTATAGTATCTTGTATATGTATATATATGTGACCCTATTGATGAAAAACTACATAATAATATTTTTCCCACATTGAATTACATGGTATCAGAGCCTTTGGCTTGTTAGAATTTATTTTTCTCGTTTGCATTGAAGATTCCGGTGATCTCTCATTGCTGTCAGTCTTGTTGACCACTTTGGGGTCACTGTTTTGTCTCCTCGCCTACCCCCGTGTTTCCTCAAAATCCGGTCACTAGATTCGCTGTGCGTGGGCCTCCCGCGCTGATCTATTTTCTGTTACAGCACCATGTGTTGGCACGTGGCGGCGCGTCCGACGATCGGAATTTGTTCTCTGACTTCGACTCCAGGTCAACTGTTTACTTAGGTGGTTGTTTTTCTGATCCGGCGAAGTTTTGGTAGGGGCATTCCCAGTTTTGTCAAAATTACTTTCGCATTTCAGGTTACTACTATTCTTTTTTGCCCCTATTTGTATTAAAAGGTCAGATTTAAGTTGGGTTCATACTATTCTTTTGGTATCTCTGTTTCTGAGTTGCTGGTAGGGTGTTTAGTTTTTATTAATAATGGGTACTGAACCTAAAGATACTAAAGCTATTATTACTGAATTGATCCTAGCAATGAATAAAATCACAGAACATAAACTGAAAGGAACTAATTATTTAGATTGGAGTAAGACAATTAGAATTTATTTGAGGAGCGTTGAAAAAGATGATCATCTAATTGATGATCCACCAATTGGTGACACTAGGCAAAGTTGGCTAAGGGAAGATGCTAAGTTATTTCTATTGATTCGAGATTCTATTAACAGTGAAGTGGTTGGGTTAATTAATCATTGTGAGTTTGTTAAAGAATTAATGGAATATCTTGAATTTTTGTACTCGAGAAAAGGTAATCTGTCTCGTATGTATGAGGTTTGCAAAGGATTTTGTCGGCCCAACAAGCAAGATAAGCCCCTTACAGCTTATTTCATGGAATTGAAGAAGATTTACAAGGAATTTAATGTTTTATTGCCTTTTAGCCCCGATGTTAAGGTTCAACAGATTCAGCGAGAACAAATGGCTGTGATGAGTTTTCTTGTAGGTCTTGCTCTGGTTTTTGAAACTACCAAATCACAGGTTCTTTCAGGTAGTGATGTTACCTCTCTTCAGGAGACTTTCGCTAGATTACTGCGTACTGTAGGCTCTCATACCCTTTCCCCTTATGAAAATAGTGCCCTCGTGAGTCGTAATCAGGTAGCTAGGCAGCCAGGAAATAGAGGAAGAGGAGGAAATAATCGTATTAATGGAGCAATTAATTGGGAGGCGAGCATTATTATCTACCATTTTTGCCATGAACCTGGTCACACTAAACGGTATTGCAAGAAATTGATAAATAATCCACTAAGGGCAAGTATGGCCACTCAAGATTCTGCAGTTGCTTCTTCTGACAACACTGTAACAATTTCTGTTGCGGAGTATGTTGAGCTCTCTAGATACCGTTCTTCTTAGTCTGCTGATTCCTCAATTGCTGCTGTTGCCAATTCTGGTACTCCTAATACATGTTTTATGTCTCTCTCATCAGAGTGGGTCATTGATTCTGGTTGCACAAATCACATGACAGGTAACCCTAGTCTCTTATCCTCATTAAAGAGCCTGAACAATTTAATTGTCATGTTACTCTAGCTGATGGGTTCACATATTCTGTCAAGTGTATTGGCACTGCCAATCGCATCCCATCTCTTCCATTGTTTCTGTTTTTGGTTTGCCTCGTTTTTCGTTTAATCTATTGTCTGTTAGCAAAATTACTTGTATATTTATCCTACCTATTGTGTGTTTTAGGATCTTTTGATGAAGCGAATTATTGGTAGAGGACGTCAGTCTGGTGGCCTTTATCTTCTGGATGAACAAGTTTCGTTATCTCTGGCTTGTGCTCGTGCTCTATCTTCTTTTGAGGTTCATTATCGTTTGGGCCATCCTTTATTGTCTATTTTAAAGAAGTTGTGTTCGCAGTTTCAGTCAAGTGTATTTGGGCAACTAGGAGCCAATCCGGCATTCCCATCCTCTTCCATTGGGTTTTTTCCTCTGGGTTTTTGGTTTGCCGTCGGTTTTTCGGTGTTAATGCCATTGGTCCTGTTAGCCAAATTACTTGGGTATATTTTATCCTACCTATTGTTGTGTTTTTAGGATCTTTTTGGATGAAGCGGAATTATCTGTAGAACGGACGGTCAGGTGCTGGGGTGGCCTTTATCTCTGGGATGGAACAAGGTTTTCGTTATCTCTGGCTTGTGCTCGAACAAGTTTCGTTATCTCTGGCTTGTGCTCGTGCTCTATCTTCTTTTGAGGTTCATTATCGTTTGGGCCATCCTTTATTGTCTATTTTAAAGAAGTTGTGTTCGCAGTTTCAGTCTTTATCAATTTTAGAATGTGAATCTTGTCGATGTGCCAAAAATCATCGTTTACCTTTAGTTCCTCGAGTCAATACACGGGTTTCATCCCCTTTTGAGTTAGTTCATTCTGATGTTTGGGGTCAATGTCCTATTATTTCTAAAACTGACTTTATGTATTTTGTTACTTTTGTGGATGATTATTCTCATGTTATTTGGTTATTTTTAATGAAAACTTGTTCTGAGATATTCTCTATTTTCTAATCCTTTTGTGCTGAGATTAAAACTCAATTTAATACCTCTGTTCGCATATTGCAAAGTAATAATACTAAAGAATATCTATCTAGTTCCTTCCAATCTTATAGGTCACAGAATAGTATTCTCTATCAAACATCTTGTGTTGATACTCCTAAAATGGGGTTGCAGAAAGAAAAAATCAACCTCTATCAAACATCTTGTGTTGATACTCCTAAAATGGGGTTGCAGAAAGAAAAAATCAACATCTTCTTGAGGTTGCTAGGGCACTTCTATTCCAAATGAAGGTTCCTCAACATTTTTGGGCTAATGCTATTTCTACTGCATGTTTTTTTGATTAATCGCATGCCTTCTTCTGTGCTTAATGGTGAAATTTCTTATAGTGTCTTGTTTCCTTCTAAGCTTCTATTCCCCATTGAACCTCATATTTTTGGTTATACTTGTTTTGTTCGTGATGTTCGTCCACAGTTTCCAAATTAGATCCAAAGTCCCTTCGTTGCATTTTCCTTGGGTATTCTCGGCATCAAAAGTAATATCATTGTTTCTCTCTCAATCTTGACCGTTGTCTTGTTTCTGTGGATGTCACATTTTTTGAAAGTACTCTATTTTTTCCTCCTATATATAAGAGTGGGGGAGGATGATGAACTTTTAGTCTACTCTATCCAGCAAATTCCTAACTCTCCTGCTCCTGCTCCTATTTCTGAACTTGCACTTGCTCTTGCTACAACATCTGCTGCTCCTATTCCTGCTCCTGCATCAGCATCTGCTTGCCCTTATCAGCATCTGCTTGCCCTTGTTTTGAACAGGTTTATTCCTGGAGACCAGGAACTCTTGACTCACTTCCCCCACCTACTGCTTCAACAAAAGATTTGATTCCCTCTACTCAACCTGAGCGTGTGCCATCCCTCCTCAGTTAGACCTTAACCTTCCCATTACTCTTTGAAAAGGTAAACGCAAGTGTATCTATCCTATTTCTTCTTTTGTCAGTTATGATCATCTTTCTTCTTTATCTCGTTGTTTTGTAAGTAACCTAGACTCTGTTTCTACCCTTAAAAGTATTGTTCAAGCTTTGTCCCATC